AGTATTACATGTAAATGGCTATTGATATCTTTCAGCGATATAAAAAATAAATGAAATTTTTAGTTTTCAGTCACTCTCCTCAAACCAGTGTGAAGCAAGCACAAAATAACTGGTATCCTAAGCTCCTTAGTCAGACATGGAAATACCACAAGAGCTATCTTAATATTAGTAATTTTAGATGTTATTCATAGCTATGCATTTGTATACCTGAATAAAGTCTTTTAAAGAGGACCTGTGCAAAGATATAAAATTTGACCTTGATAAATGAATGTTATTTAATATTTTCTGGATGAACAATGTTCTAGTGGAGGATAACTGATGGGGTAAGAGAGGTGGAGAAAAAAATAGCTTCTTATTGTAGTGACTACGGCGTCCTCCTAAGCAAACTGCTCTGGGTTATCAACCTCCTACCAGTGAAGCTATTGTCACCCACAGTCAGTAGCAGTTTAAATGTAGTTCATATCTAACTTTGAAGTAGGAAAACGCATATCAACTTTTCTTCTTTTCTTCTTTCTTCCTTTCTTTCTTTCTTTCTTTCTTTCTTTCTTTCTTTCTTTCTTTCTTTCTTTCTCTTTCTTTCTTTTTCTTCCTTCCTTCCTTCCCTCCATCTCTCTCTCTCTCCCTCTCTCTCTTTTTCTCTCTTTCTCTTTTTGAGACAGGGTCTTATTATGCAGTTCAGGCTGGCCTCGAACTCAATTTGTAGCACAGGCTGGCCTCAACCAAGCCATAATTCTCCTGCCTCAGCCTACTGAATGTTGGGATTACAGGTGTGCACCAGCACACCCGGCTGAAAATATAAACTTTACAAAGGTAAACTGGGTTAAATTTCAAAGTCATGTAAATATCAACATTTGAAATCACATAAAATCTATTCTTAATCAGACTTGCAATAAAAATAAAATGAAACCTGGGAGTTATATTAATTAGATTGGAAAACACTTACAATTTACTCAATAGAACTATATAATTAGGTCCCCATAGGTAGTTGCTCGGCAAACACTGTTTGGCGATTATATGGACAGCAATACTCATAATTAAATTTTTCATGTCAAATTTTAGTATTTTATGGCATTATTTCATTGGTTAGAGAAGGTGACCAACTCAAATAAGTTGTGCATTTTTTAGAAGAGGCATTACTCATAGTTTAAAAATAAATAAACATTTAGGGCTGGGGATTTAGCTTAGTGGCAAAGCGCCTGCCTGGCAAGCGCAAGGTCAAGAGTTCGGTTCCTGGTACCGGAGAAAAACCAAAATAAATAAATAAATAAATAAATAAATAAACATTTTAATTTTTTTTGTTTTTTTTTTTTTCCGGTACCAGGACTCAAACTCATGACCTTGTACTTGCCAGGTAGGTGCTGTGCCACTGAGCTAAATCCCCAGCCCCAAAAGTTTTAATTTTAAAATTGCAGAGTAATGCATTTTTTCTTATTCGTCCTCATACACACACTTGTATTTTCCTCGTATTTTATAGACAGAGAAGCTGAATTTAAATACATTCTTTAATGCATCAAATGGCATCTTTTTTATTTTATTTTATGTATCAAATGATTCTTTTTTACTCTAAAGAGAAAAAATAAAAGTAACAAACAGTTTCAAAACAGGCTAGTAAGAGAGTAACTATAATTATTAGACTACATAGTGTTGTCTTCATAGTAGTTACTCAGAGTACAAGATATAGGCATGATACCCTATACAAACAATATTAGCAGAAACATTTCTTTTCCACTAGCTGTATAACCAACTTAACTATCTTGTATGCGAATATTTTTTTCTTTTTCCCTTTCTTTCCACTTTCTCCCATCACAATTTTTTTTTCCTTTTGAAGAGTTTCTTCCCAATTCACATTATCTATTGTAGATTTGGGATCTTATTTACTTTTTCAGTTTCTAATACTAGTGAGATAATATGATGTTTACAAAAATGAGTCTGATGTATTTTATTTATGAGTAGGATCACAAGTTGCATCCATTTGCCTATAAAAGTCTGTAGTTTACCCTTCTTTATGGCTGAATAGCACTCTACTGTATAAAATTTTTTTTTAATTTTAAAGAGAATTAAAAAACAATAGAAATGATACAGCATTTCAAAACAAGATGGGAAATTAACAATGGTTATTATATTGCATAGTTATCTTCAAAGTAGTTGTTTAGATTACCATATAGGCATGTAAAATTGATTAAAAATATAAGCACTAACTATTCCTTTCAATAATCTAATAGAAATTAGTAGTACAATTATCTTAGCCATCTTGTATGTGTGAGTATATTTATATAAATATATATTTTTCTCTTACTTTTTCTCTCTTTCTCCTATCCCAGCTGTTCTTTTTTTTTAAGCAGTTTCTTTCCCTTTCACAATATCTATTATATCTTTTGGATCCTATTTACTTTTTCAATTTCTTACACTAGGGAGACAATACAGTGTTTACACATGTGAGTATGGTACATTTCACTTAGGTATATAGTCTTTAGTTGCATCCATTTACCTATAAAAGCCTCAAGGTTTTTTTTTTTTTTTCATCCATTCCTCAGGTGATGGGTATTTGTGTTGTTTCCAAGATTTAGCTATTCTAAATTGTGCTGCTATAAAAAGTTGTACATATATCATTGTAGTATGATGTTTTTAATTCCTCTGGGAAAATACCCAGGATGGAGATAGCTGGGTGGAATGAGACCTCTAATCCCAGTTTTGTTTTTGTCTTTGTTTTTTTGTTTGCTTATTTTGTTTTTCCGGTACTGGGAATCGAACTCATGACCTTACACTTGCCAGGCAGGTGCTGTGCTGCTGAGCTAAATCCCCAGCCCCCTAATCCCAGTTTTTGAAGGAATCCCCATGCTGATTTCTACAGTGGTTGCACCAGTCTACACTCCCACCAGCAGTGGAGAAGGGTTCCTTTCTCTCCACAGCCCGTCCATCATTTGTTATCAGTCAATGTTTTGATGACAGCCATTCTTTCTGGGGTGAGATGGAATCTCAGTGTTGTTTCAGTTTGCATCTTTCCAATAAACAATGATTTGGAACATTTTTTATGCATTTATTTGCCTATAAATGGTTCCTTTGTTTGAGAATAACACTCAAACAAATTCTATCTTCTTAAAAACTTGCATTTAATGAATGAAATAATAAAATAATATTGAAGAGATGAACAGCAAAAATAACAAATGTTTTACATAAATGAATATAACTAGCTACACAGCTGCATATATAATTAGACTACATGAAAGAGAACTCCACATACTATGGTTAGCAGTCATTCTATTAAACTTACGGTTTTGGCTTCATTACTAAGGGCTTATTAGTTCATTAAAAATGTTAGAAGAGTAATAACTAAAAATGAATGCTATCAGTATAGATAAGATAACTAGTAGATATGTTTCCCCACTAGCAAGAAAAATATAGAATTTGTGTTAAGAAGACTTCCGCATACTGAGAATTCTAGCAAGAACTAAAGTAAATATTTTGGTAAAATAGTAAGGCATTTTTTGATAGTAGCAGCAAGAATCAATGTAAGTAGCAGTGCACCCTGTTGGCACAAAATAAAAGACCCATTAATGGCAGTTGTGGGGGAAGGGGGAGGTGTAGCCAGAGAGAGAAGACAGCTAAAGAGGTCTCTATAAAGGGAAACAGGCATCTAGAGAGTACAGACTTGAAAATTACGAAGCAAGTTCAGAACAGCTGATGAAGTTATCAAGGCATTTTTCTAATCTGATGGGCAACAAGTACAAGACAAAGCTATGGTAACACCAATAATTTAGAGAAATGCAGGTAAGAATGGAGCTAGCATAAGGGCACAGATACTAATTTAAACAACCTTTAGTTTAGGGAGAGGCAGTAAAGACAAGTGCAGAGACAAATATGAAGAATGTGAATCCCCAGGGCAAATTGGACAGCAGTTAAGGAGGAATGCAAAGGGCAAAAAAGGGATCACCTCTTTCAGAGAAGTGGATCTGACCTGAATAAAGAGCTGTGTAACAACAGACTTTGACTGGTTTTCACACAGGGCCATGCACTAGAAGGGTCTGAATAACAGATGAAGTCTCTCACCCTGAATTCAGTAAGTAAAGGAGGGGCTGGGGATTTAGCTCTGTGGCACAGTGCCTGCCTGGCAAGCTCAAGGTCATGAGTTCAATTCCTAGTACTGGAAGAAAAACATACCCAAAA